CCTGTACGTTTTTTTCAACTTTAATTGTGATGTTGACTATCAATACCTTGCCGACCACGATAATCTTCGAGTCAATGAGTCTTTATCATAAATACACATATTTTACATTTTCCAAACTTTTGGGGGGAATTATTTACACCATTATATGTTTTATATCAGTGTAAGTTTTGACGACAGACATTATATCATTTATGTTAATAGAAAGGGCAACATTTCCCACGATATTTTATCATTGCTTACCATTGGCCACCTAATAAATTAATTCTTTTTTACAATTATAATTTTGTATTCACTTTGGCTTGATTTAGTTATTCTAATTTGATTTTTATATAGAGTATATAATTAAATAATTTTATATAGTAGATAAAAAATAATGTAATTTTTTATGAATATTTTTATTGAGTATTTTTACTTAAATAAAACAATTTTTAATTATCACATTCATTTATTACATAAAATTATTTGATCAAATTTTATATAAAAATTAAATGAAAACATCTAGATCTGACTGAACGTGATATATATTTGATTAAAATATTAAATTGGTTCCTCATTATTGAATTCATATTAAAATTATTTTTTAATTTTAAAAAATATCAAAATTATCTTTAAATTTTAATTTTTGGTACTAAAATATTCCTCAAACTATGAAGATAATATGAACTTAATCTTTGAACTTTGAAGACAAAATACCAGCTTAGTCTTGAATTTTAATTATAAATACCAATTTGATCTTTCAATTTTAATTATATATTAATTTGATATGTAAATAAAAGTATATTACGATAGTAAAATATAACCATTTAATTTTATATGTTATTAATATTTAAAAAACTGATTTTGTGATAAAATAATGAGTTATGTGGTACTTTTGTTAATTAAAGGATCTTTTTGATATTAAATATTAAACTTTAGAGATAATTTTAATATTTTTTAAAGTTAAAAAATAATTTTGATATAAATTTAAAAATTAAAGGACCAAATTAATATTTTAACTTATGTTTCGACGAATCGGTCAAAGCTTGTTTGCCAACACTCCAAGCACATTTTTTCTTCCACGAATTTGTTAAACAAACTTAAAGTTTTTTCTACGAATCTTCGGTGCCCATTTTTTCTTCTAAATTATTTGGCGAGTAAAAGACGCGGTTTGAATAATTTATGATATATAAATATACTAAGATCAGCTCATTGGAATTGTGTTGGCAGAGTACAATCGGATCATCTGCTAATTACTAAGTCAATTGAAGTCCATGGCGCGAGGGCATTCTAGCTCAATATTACTAAGGAAACAGAATGCAGTGAGAAGGAAAATGAAGCGATTGAGGTTGGAGATGGAGGAGATAAACATAGATCAGAAGCAAATTCGAAAAGACCAGAGAGATTTGAGAGGAAAATTGGAACACATCAATGAGCAATGCGTGCAGCTTAGACAGGAGATGGAAGTAGTCGCGAAGCAGAAAGCTCGGAATCAGCTTCTCTTGAATCTCACATTCAGAGTCTTGAAGGCTCGGCAAGCAGGGGACTTTGCCACTGCCATCTCCCTCACTCGGATCCTCCGGTTTGTGTTTCACAAACTAATTAATTCCTTTTTCTTAGTACGTACTCATGCATGTTAATTAATTGGTTTCTCAATGTTTATTAACTTGTTTACTCTTTGTTTGCATGCAGTCAGGTGATACAAAACAGAGGAGCAAATGAAGGAAATGCATCTGATGATATAAAATGAAATTAAGGTTTAAATTATTGAATAGTTTGAAATGAAGAAAGTCCTACAAATAAAGGAATTTATATATACTTGTCTTTTATTTATAAATAATTATGGAAAGTTGGAACTTATGTTGGTTTTGGGTTTAGGCCTTGTTGATTGCAAGATAATTCTTGATTGATTAGGTCCTTGTCTTTTTATATTTCATAAAATAAACTATAATGATTGTAATAGTATTATTTACTTAATAATAATAGTTGTGTGATTGATTATAAAAAAGTAGTTATATAATAATTGTTATACTTATAATTTTGATAATTATAAAACAAACTTTAATTACTAATTTGTTTATCTAAATATGTACTTTATGATTTGAAAGCTGACAAGAGTGAATGAATTTGGATTGCATTAAAAAAGAATCAAAATGCTAAAAAATGGTGCAGAGAGTCAGCTATGATTTTCTACAATTGGTTTTGGAGAAATGCAGAAAACGTGATGAAGTGTATAGAGTCGACTCTAAAATTTTGCAGCTGGCTTTATTGAAGAAATTTGCAGAAAGCTGACTAGAAAAGCTACAACCGGCTTTGCGGATGAAAAATTTAAGCTTGTAGTTTGGCATACATGGAAAATAATCGCAAAGCTTGCTATGACTTTGCAGTCGGTTATGATGATGCATTTAATGCTCAATAGTTAAATTTTTCAAAGATTTTTTAATATTTTGAACTTAGGAAAATATTTTGAACTTAGGTTTCTTAAGTTGGTTTTGTGTTTTGTAGCTCACTCAACAAAAAAACAAAACATGCAGAGGTAGCAGGATAGTCAACTCTATATAGCCAGTTTTACAGGTATAGCCAGTTTTAAAGGTATAGCTAGCTCTACCAACAAAGTTTGTAGCATGTTTTCTTGGACTTAAACTTATCTGTAGGACTTTAATTAAATCCCAATGACTAGAGACGACTATTTTCAATCAAGGGGTATAAATATGATTGGTAGAAGTCTTGAAATAAGTTCTAAATATTTTTCATAGTATATTTTTCATAGTATATCTTTCATCTATCATTTTGTGATTCTTGTGCTTTAACTTGAGATTTTGATCATTGAGTAATCTTTACTTATAATCCCCTATTTGCTTTCTTTGAAAGTTGTCTTGCTTTCTTTAAAAGGCCCCTTTTTAGTCCCCTAAAATTTAAAATCTGGCCCCTTTTTAATTCTTCCGTTAAGTTTTAATGTTAAATGATGAAAATTTTAAAGAAATGGAATAAAAAAAGGGGTTTTTTTTTTTTTTAAAGTAGAGGGACCAAATTAAGGTTTTTTTTAGTCCCTTTTTAGCCCCTTTTTCGTTCCTATACTTCAAAATTTTCGTCATGTAATATGCCATATATGCAAAATTTAACAGAGGAATTAAAAAATGGCTATATTTCAAACTTTAAGAACTAAAAAGGGTTTTTTTTAAGTAGAAGGACTAAAAAGAGCCTTTTTACCAAAATAGAGGAACCAAAATGGGGATTTAACCTTTATTTTTCTAGTTTTGTTGTTGATTGTTTCTTTATATAGTTTCATTATTTCATTGTAAAGTAAAAATAATAATTAATAAGTTAATCTTAGTAATTGGAATAATTGGGTTAAATAAAATGGGGTTGCAAATTATATTAAAATTATATAGTGTTGTTACTATTTGACACCAAAATTTTGTATTATATAATATTTCTGGATTTCATTTTTTATTTTTCTTTTTGCTGCAAAAACTATTTCTATTTTATATAATATAGTTTTTTTTATACAATATTAATCAATTTTGAATATTTATTATGAGAGTGTAAATCTTCAATAAAAAAATATTGTCCACTTTAAATTATATTGAATTATATAATTTATACCATTAATTGAAGGTAATGATAGTGAAAGATTATTGAACCTAACGATATGAAAAATAAAATTTCTTTTTATTAGTTTCTTTTCATTTTTAATGTGCTTTTGGGTAGTTTTGTAATAAAATTTTACCTAAATTTTCATTAAATAGAGATAGAATGAGAACATTCTATTAATCTAAATAATATGTGATAAAACTCACCTTATAATAACTTTAAATAGAATGAGGACATTTGATTGTTTGTGACAAACCCATAGAAAATGCTCTAGTCACACAAATACTCTTCAATCTATTTATATATATAATCTATTGAGATCCAGAACTTGTTCTTCTCACGATAACAATAGCAATAGTGAAAATAGAAACCACTCATAATGAATAAAAAAACTCAAAATTTACCTTCTATGACATTCTCCTTTTTCTTTCTTTTCTCTCTTTTGATTTCCTTGTCCTCTTATGGAATTTGGCATGAGAATTATGAATTTAATTTGGCATGTGAATTATGAATTTAAGAGAGATTTTATTGTCCTTTTTATCAAACCATCAAAAAATCATTTAAGGAGAAATTCAATCACATTAAGAAAATAAAAGGTACATTTTATTCATGTGATCTGTGTTTGTGAAGGGCACATTCTTTTAGTCAATTATTATGGATATTTTTAATTTTTCTTGTTGCTTAAGAATATGTTTAGTTTGAAAGAAAGAAATGAGAAGGAATTGAAGGAGAGCAAAATAAAGGAATTTTGTTTGTATAAATTAAAAGAATTGAATGAATTAAAAATAAAAAATAAAGTAAATAAAACTTCTTCATTTTTTGCATTTAAATTTTTTTCATAACCAAATAAAGCAATTGTCCCTCATCCTCTCTCTTCTTTTCCATTTTGTTTAAATCAAACATACCCTAAAATTAGTAATTTTGGACTGAAAATCCAGAATTTTTTTCATTGATTATGATAATCATGATAATTTTATAAATGGCCAAAAAAATTTAAATAAGAAGAAAAAGAAAAAAAAACTAAGAACTTGAGAATAGTTTTTTCCAAAACTCAGCCTACATTTTCCCGCACGATAAATCAGCCCATTATTAGCCCACTGCACATCATCCCAAACCCAAGACTATATTTAAGGGAAAATATATATATATATATATATCGAAATTACTCAAAATAGGTTACCTTGTCGCGTGGATGCCTTAGGACTGAAAACCCTAAATTTCCACGATTCTTTGCCGTTACTGTCCTGAAGGAGCTTATACAGATAGAGATAAGGGTGGAATGGGGAACCAGAAGCAGAAGTGGACGTCGGAGGAGGAAGAAGCGCTACTCGCCGGGATAAAGAAGCACGGCCCCGGAAAATGGAAGAACATCCTCAAGGACCCCGAGTTTGCCCCTTTCCTCACTCACCGATCTAATATTGACCTCAAGGTATCTCCTTTACTTTTGATTCCGGTCGACCCACGTTTTAGTTTCCCTTTTCTTCTTGGGTTTGAGAAACTTAATCTAGGTCTTTAGTTGTTTTTATCTGTTGTGCTTTGTTTGGTTTCAGTGATTTCCCTGGAATATTTCCTTCTTTGTAGGTTAAATCAATTGTCTTTGGAATGAATTAGTTTGTTCTTTTTGCTGTAAAAACCCAGAAAAAAGATTCCAAACTTGGTTTTTTCCCCTAATTTCAGTGGCCTAAGGCTTTGTTGCTTATTGTTTTTGTACCATATATTTAATCAAGAGTGCAGTCTGGACTGCACTGGACTGCAATACAGGGACCTTAGACTGGGAGGGGCCCAATATCAGGGGGCCTGTCCTCATCCTAGGGTTCCTGTTCTGCAGTTCCGGATTGACAGACCAGTTTTTCGTTCAAACTCTTTTGCCTTGTTAACCTTGCTTCTGCTTCCAGGACAAATGGAGGAATTTGAGTGTTGGTCCTGCTTCTCAAGGTTCAAGAGAAAAGTCCAGGCAACTTAAATTAAAAGCCCTTCCTTCTGCCCCTGTTACAAACACTCCAAATTCTGCTCCAGTTGCTTCACTCACTCAGAATGTACCCTTGGATACTACTATGGAAGACCCTTCAAT